GGAGCTAGCACAACGATGTGCACCCAGGAGGGTGTGACAAGCCCCTTGGGGAGATGACCCTGATCATGAGTGGAGTGCGAGATGGCCAGTATGGACACCAGGGCACCTTCCCAAGGAAAGGAGATCAAAGGTCTGTGTAGATGGGTGGTGTATTGAAGAGGAGCAAGCCCAGATACTATTCAAAGTAGAATTGGCAGGACTTTGTGAGTGTCATGGTATTGAGCAGAGGTCCCCAATCTACAGTACTATAGACTAGTACTGTATTTACAGAGGCTCCCCATCAGTCACATTAACTCATGTACTCTGCCTCTCATAGGTCAGTATTAGATTCTCATAGGAGTAGGGTTCATAGGAGCATGAACCCTACTGTGAACTGTGCATGCAAGGGCTCTAGGTTGTATGCTCCTTTGAATCACTGCATCTGGAAACCTATTGAAAGCCCTTCTAGAACCTCATCACAGTTCAGGAAGTTTATATTTGTAATCCCAAAGGAAACTTATCGGAATTCTAGTGAGTTAATTCCAATCTACCACCTCCAGCGCAACCCATGGTGAGAATAGATACTAAGGCATAGTTGCAGCTATAGGGAACCAAGAGAGTCCTAAGTCCAGCTAGGATGATGGTTAACTGGAACAAAGGTTTCAATCCAGGGCCAAACCCAGGTTTTATTAATATGGGAAGAGGGGAGCAGCTCAGAGATGAGGGATTGTGAAAATGAGGGGAAGTATGCAAGGCCCATGAGCTGGGCTAGGCAGAAGGCCCAAATCACCCCTCTATTATGTAGAGAAATTGTATGTTAAAGGAGTAGTCTGCATAACACAATGCAAGGTAGGACCTAATGTTTTGGGGTTGGTGCTTCAGCTCTGATACATAATATTTTATGCCCTGGGAAGTCACAGCCTCTTATCTTGAGGTTTCAGCCCAGCCCAATGCATGGAGCATGGCTCTCCCTCCTGCCAAGCATACATATGCTTCTTGGGAGCTACAGGATGGGGCAACACTGACCTGCCCATCACTTTGCTTGACGACTGCATGCTAGTACCTGGACTAGACTGATTTGCATTGTTTAAAGCTGATTGATGGGATAAGGAAAAAACATAGCCAGCTCTGTACATAACAATACATGGAGATAGGGCCAGATTTAGTAACAATGGAGATGGCTTCTCTTTTTTCCAGGTGAGTCATCCAGGTAGTCCTCCACAGAAAACTGGCATTTACCTCTACCCACTCCATAAATTGTCTTCCATAAAAACTGATCTCTGGTGCCAGACAGGTTGGGGACTGCTGGAACAGAGGTGAGAGTAAAGGAGAACTACATGACAAATGTAGTATTTGGGGTTGGATGACCAGGCAGATTGTGGTGCCACAAACTGGGACAAATAATATAGGGAAAGGAATGAACTGGAAAGTGTTTTACTATTTCTGCATTTAAATTATTTTCTAAAATGTGGGCTTAAATAACAATTTATTATTTTTCTTGATTCTGTGGGTCAAGAAATGGACAGGGCTCAGCTAGGAGGTTCTTCTCCACACGGCTTTGCCTATGGTCATTTGCTCTGCTGAGCCAAGGTATTGGTTGGGCTGGAAGGCCCACGTTTCATGTGCCTAACTCCTTGTGCTGCTCCTCGTGGCCCCTCTCTCATAGGGCTAGCCAAGCCTCCCCTACATCACGGTGGTCTTAAGGTTGCTGAACTTCTTCATTGTGATGGCCTCTGAGAATATGTACTCTCAGAGTGAAAAGCAGATTCTGTACATCTTCCAAGTCCCAGTCTCATAGATTACATCATCACTTCTGCTACATTCTTTAAACTAAAAATCATGGAACCAGCTCATATTTAAGAAAAAGTGAAACTATTCCTCTCTGAGTGGAAAGAATAGCAAAGAATTTGTGGTCATCCCTATTCGGAGAGTCCAGGTACAGTAAATGCTGTGATATGCTACCCAGTATCTGCCTTGGGCAAAAGCATTTGTTTCTCTGAGCACATGCTGGCTGCTCACGCCTGCTTTCCTTTCTGGGAACTATCTTCCCCTAAGGTTAAACCCCTGTCCAAGGCAGCCCCTTTTGTAGGGCCATCGAGTCTCTGGAGTTCCCTGGGTTGTGCTGAACTATAGCAGTGCCACAGTGTCTCTTCTGTCACTTTAGCTCCTCCTGCTGTTCTGCAGACTGCTCCTCCGAGTCCTCCCCAGTCACCACCTGCACTCAGACCTCTGCCTCAGAGTGTTGCCCAGCAACCTGACCTCTGCCAAGGGACTGAGGTAGCAGCAAAAAAGTAATCAGCTATGGGGATGCAAATATTTAATTCTAGGATTCTGGAAGGCAGGAGGATTACAAGTTCCAGCCCAAGTGGGAAATTTAGCACCTGAGCCTCAAAATAAGAAATAAAAGCTCAGTACAAAAGCCCTGGATTCAATACCCAAAACCAAAAAGGAAAAGGAATCAATCCTGCAGGCAGTAGAGTTTATTTTTATTTTTATTTATTTTTTTTTTTAGGCAGTAGAGTTTCTAAGACTGAAGTTCAAGGGAAGGGTCAGGAAGTTGAGGTAAAATCCAAGTGAACATTTATTTAACCAATCTGCCAATGTTAATTGTGTGATTGTCTCCAATTTTCATCATAAACACAAAACATTGCAATGCACACCTTGATACCTAAATTCTTTTATCTAAAATTCTATCACCTATTTTAGTGCAGAGTCTGAGTAGCAAAATTATGAATTAAAGAATATGACTGCTCTTGAAGCTATCCAAAAGTTCCAAGGCCCTGTTTTACACCACATTTACACAGGCTTCTCCATCGGCCAAATTCTCTCAATTTACAAGAGGCCTGATTTAGGTAAGGTCATTGATTCAGCAGGAGAGTTAATCATTCATTTGAATTGGTTTGTGCAAAAGGCTCCAGAGAGCCCACAAGAATAAATTGAAAAGCTATTAGAACTAACAGGCAAATTTAATAAAGTGGCTGGATGCAAAATTCAATAGCTTCCTCATCAACTAGCAATAACCAATTAGAAAATGCACTGGGGCCAAGGGGATGGAGGGGGAGACATAGCAACAACAATACCAGAAATACCCAGGCTTCACTGTACTGACAAGAGAGGGACAGAAAACCTATAATTTAAAACTTTTTAAATTTTGAAAACCCATGAAATAATGATAGGAAAAAATGAAGATGGAATGTGCTAGAGTTAACTTATAGATTTAACACAGTCCAATTGTAAGAACAAAGTTTGTGTTGTTGATATTAAGCATGTCAGAGTTATCTAAAGTTCACTCAGAAAAAAATATATACATTAGGTCAAAGTAGCTAAGAAAACAAATGGAAAGGGATAGAGTTATAACTTAGTGACAGAGTACTTGCATAGGGGCTAGGGATTTGGCTCAGTGGTAGAATGCTTGCCTAGCAAGCTGGAAGCCCTGGGTTTGGTCCTCGGCATCAAAAACAAAAAATAAACCTCCCCTAAAAAACAGTTCAACCAAAAAAAATACAGTAAAATAAAAAAAGACCCAAAACAAACAAGGCAACATAGTACTTGCCTAGAATGAATAGGGCTCAGGGTTCAATCCCCAGAAGCACAAAAAAGAGAAAGAAGGGGGCTGCTGAGATGGCTCAGTGGCCTAAAGCACCTACTTGGAACAAGTTTAGCAAAGCACAGGGACC